GATTCACTCTTTCGGCTAGAAATTGTACAACAGTATATGGTTCTCTGACTTGAGCAATCGGGAATGAACCCATTAGTATTTGTAATTCTTTGGGCACGGTCGAAGGAAAGACCAAACCGGGACAATCGCACAAACACACAGTCTTTGTAAGATAAATAGTCTGAAAATGCTTAGTATGACCAGGAGTACGAGACACGCTCACGACTTTCTTGCCTGTAAAATAAAATATTAGATGATGAAAATCAAATGACATTAAATATGGAATATAAAAATTTAAGAAATCACTATTTAATTAATCATTTAACAAATGATTAATTATATAATGCAATCGTATAATCAAATAATCTTGCTTTTTTACCCATCAATGCATTCATCAAAGAGGACTTTCCAACATTCGGCGTTCCAATACACCCAATAGTCAGAACTCCATTTTTGTATTTTTCATGTTCAAAGTAAGTGGTATCCTCCTTCTCAACTGTTACATTATCCTCGTGATTTATGTCATCTAAATCGTATTCGGAATGCATTTCCTCTTGAATCTTCTCATACCAAGAACTTAGATTGACTTGATCCCCAACAATATCTTTACAAGCTTCCAGCAACTTCTGCGCTCCTTCCGCGGCCATTCTCAATTTTCCCTTGCGACGTCTTTTCTTTATACCCTCCTCCTTATTGTTTGTACTACCGTGAAGATTGTAAGTGGGATACGATGTGAACATTAAAATGTGTAATTTTGGATATTGATTACGAAAATATTCTTTCCAAGCCACTACTAACGCTGGAGGTGCTAGATCAACCTTGTTTAATATCAAAATCATATCTTTCTTCAATTTCTTCGTCACATAGTCGTATAAATACGGAGGAAACATTAGAACGGGATATCTGATATCGACAATAATTAATAAAATATCTGACATTTCTAGAACCCTCCATAGTTGTCGCCAAGTTTCTAAATTCAATTCAAAGTAACTCGAACTATCTAATTCCTCCATGCTGTCTAAGTAATCCTAAATACAAAGAATTATTAGTCCGTAACATGATAAGCCAGAATTTTGTTTAGTATAGTCATAATTACATACTTTAAAATATCTCTGTTCTCTCATCTCCAATTGCTCCTTTGTCATATTAAAATCCCATGGAGGTCGCTTTGGTATGTCAATCCCAGGCGGAAAATAATTATCGGAAATTTCTTGATCCTTGAGACTTGCGGGTTCGATACTTTTAAAGGCTCGTTCCTTGCGTTTTCGCAATTTTTCCTTGGACTCTTGAAAGAATTGTAGTGCATATTTATTCCTCGAAGATTTATTATCTCTTGGTTGTTCATTTATCTTTATCACTTGTCTCTTATCAACGTTGTTTTCACTGCTGCAGCTTTCATCACCATCTGAGTTTACTGTTAATTGAAACATATTTTTGTAACAATAATCCTTCACAAATATTAATAAATTACTGATAAAATAACTATAAATTGCAATTTTATATATATATATATATATACATATAAACTTTTAAAAATAATGCGAATCAGATAGCATAGATTACACTGATGCTTTATCCACCCGCTTTATTTTTAATTTATTTTTTGTGGCCGAATGACTCATCGCCAAAAATATAAAATCATATTTTCTATTTTATGGAAATTATCAAAATAATGACATTATGCGAAACAGTTTAACAGTTTCATTTAAGATACATATTAAAACCTTCAAGAATTTATATTTAAAAATGTAGCTTATATTTCATAAATAAATAACATGTTTTTAGAATAATTGATTTTTAGAAATTATCGAAGTGAATCATTCCGGTAGTTATTTTTATACAAAGTGTATAGTCATGTAAAAACAATCATCAAAATAAATAACTGGAATAAAAAAATAAATAAAAAAATTTATATTAATATTACTATAAATAAATTTTATATATAGTGTATGTACACATACACACTTATAACTTCTATCATTTTTATCTGTGTTTACTTTATATACATACTTTAATAATATATATGACAAATTGTTTACGTAACATAATAAATAATATAATTTAAATAATATTTATTTTATATGCATATATAAATGTACATATTATATATACACATGTATATGTACATATATATATATATATATATATATGCATAAAAAAAAAATGTTATTTAATCGATATGATTATTATGTTACTTAAATCAAATATGCGCTATATCGAAATAAATATTATGCCCACAAGATTTTGTTTATATCTGAAAATGGTTCTCAGATTAAGAAAGAATGAGTATCAGTGTTATATACAACATTCCAGCAACAGATGCTTTCCTTTTCGACATAAATGTGATTCTATTATTCAATGGAATTCAATGAATAGCAAAGATCCTAGACATGCATGCCTAAAGGAGACATTTTAAAGATTACAAAGATCTCTTCTAAACAATGCGTATCGTTTGGGCAGAACGACAAATATCCTTTGTTAAATATCCTAAAGAGAAAGTAGTCAAAGACAGAATTATGTGTCAATTCGAGTCACTAAATAAAAAACACCCAATATTGCAACAATACATCTCAAAAATAGACAGTGTATGACGAAATTTATCATTAAGGTTTTTGAAGGAAAGTTATATAAATTTGAGAATAATAAGCTTAGATAAATAATGTTGGGAAAAAATATTGATATTTTTATTTGAGTTATTTAGAAAAAAAGCTTATGAAAAGATTTATTACTCATGGCTAAAAACCCATCAACTATGAGAATAATTGGAAAAATCTCTTTTGAAAAGCCATTACACAGTATTGAAACATGAAACAGTAGCTACGTTAGTAGAAAAAGTTTGCAAGTATCATAAAATTTTTAAATATAAATACTCGTATTTTTTCACTAAATTTAAATATATTCTTTAAAATCTTTAGAGTAGAATCTCATTCTAAAGAATGAAAATTGAGTCAGCTTGGAAAAGAGTAGCTCAATTTTCAAAGTGAGATTTCATTCTTTAAAATAAAATTCACTATAAAAGTTTTAGAACACTTAAATCAATCATTAAAGAATCTTACAACAGTTACAAAGCTGTTTCTTTTCTTAATGTAAACACATTACATTTTTAAGCAAAAAAAGAAAAAAAAATGTAATAAAATAATAAATTATAATAAATCTCACTTAACGATAAGATTAAAAAAACAGACCTCTTAATAAAACTTTGTTAAAATTTTTATAATTAATACACATACCAAGCAAAGTTCGCTGTCGTTGTTTTTTAGCTTGCATTTGTTGCTTTTTTGCTTTTCCGCTGAACGGAACTTTTCTCCTTCCCTGAGGCATATTTTTGTAGTTTCAAGTTCGTTTTCCTTTATCACTATTATCACAGATCTGTCACTAACAATTCGTAGTTTATTTATAAAAATTATTATGTTTAATTCGTCAAAGTTCAGAACCACTGTACATACACCACTGTACGCTGGCACTTCGTTCTTGCAGCGTGTCGAAACGCTGAATGAATACTATTGCGAATCCGCGTTGTCCGTATTCAACGAGACGAGGATTTATATACGATGCAGAACAGCTGATCGGTTAACCATTAACGCCATCTGAGACTGTTTTCGAGACCACGCGCACAAGTATATTCGGACGGAATTAGCCAAAGTGTGGCCACATGGAGTATGAAAATTGGAGAAATCGTAATGACTCTTGCGTTGATCGTATCACCGACTAGATATGTGTTAACGTGTGCAGATCATTGTGTACAATAACGTTGTTCAAAGCCGCTTCACGAAGTACGCACGTTTCACATCATCCTCCCATTTCTACCTATTTCCCACTTTCCAGCTCCCCGGTGTCCCCACTTTCCGGTGCTCCTACTCTTGTGTTTGTATCGTATGCACGTATATGCGTTTTCTCTCACGCTGTACATAAAATGTACATATATGCATCGTATTTTTCCACCATGAATTTGAGAGGGGATCCAAATTTGAAACCAAGCATCAAATGAATGCGACTGCGGTTGAAATTTCGCTACAAATGCTTTAAAGTGTTTGATGGACCAATCAGAAGAAAGAATTTTACAAAGTGACCGATTAAAAAAACGCTTCAAAGCGTTTGTAGCATCGCGTTGATCGTATCATCGGCGAGATATTATTATAAAGACAGGCGAATTTCGTGAATATCAATAGGGCGGATGGGGATATAGGAGAAAGATGATATTATCGACAATTGATACAAATTTGCGATTACTAACATAAATATTCCGATAATACATTATTGAATTTATGATTTTTTATTATATAAATACAGCATAAATAAGTATGCATAATTTTAACGCTATATCTTATATATTGTAAAATTACAATTTTTTTTTCTCTACAGTTATCTCCATATTGACAATCAAACTTAGCTGATAACGTTAAATTCAGTTTTAAATAAAAATAAGTATTATTAAATTTTAAACATATATACGTGTCTACGAAATTAATAAATCATGAAATTAGTACTATATTTCCAATTTCTTACTTACTCTTAAATCATTTGAATTTTAACAGTCACGCGAACTTCCGCAAGTCCGGCCGTTTTTAATAGTACCATTAGTGTCTCGTCCGTGATTGTACCTTTGCGTCCTTGTTAGCTTACCAGGTAAGACCGACTGTATTTTGCGCATTTCATGTATAGCAGCTTTTAGTGCACTAATCTTCTATGACATTCTATGTAATGCAAGTGACTGAGTTTACTTACATAATGTCACTGTATATCAACGTCGAACTGTACCGAACGCATTAAACACAGCATTACATTACGCAGTAGGTACGCAGTACGCAGTGGCGCAGTACGTTGGATTTGGAGATTTCCCTCACCCTTCCTCAGCCCCGCTGCCCTTAGCAACTTCCAGCTGCTTGCAGCAACTTCTGTCGTCACAGTCGTCGTCACAAGTAATTTCAACTCACTCTTGTCTGTTCTTGTTGATTCCTGCCCAATGCCCATATTCTAGTCCATTCCTGCCTCGTCTTTACTTGCGATCGTTTTTCGAGCTACGTTTTCACAACCGAGATGGACTGGTATAAGGTCACCGATACTTTGAACTGCATGCTGAAGCCTTCTCGAATTAATGACGAGATAAGGAACATGAAATACGAAAACGAGTTAATATCTCGTTTATTGCACAATCAAGAGGTTATGTGAGTATGATCGCACAATTAAAGTTTACATGTCGCTCAGGGAGAGCTTTTCGTTATCCCGACTTTCGAAATAGTTTCTTCTTTTTCCTAATTCTAGCAAAATGGTGAAAAGTTTATATATTAATTTGTTTCTCAAATGAAATTTCACCCATCCTATGTTTTTAATTAGTTACTTTTAATTAACTGTAATATATGTGTTTGTCTATTAATATGTGAGTTAAATTTTAGCAATAAACAAAATTAATTTTAATTAATGGGAATATATACACTCTGAGTTATATTGTTTTCTTTTAATTGGGATGCAGGAAATTTGTGTCCTACTGGCTGAAAAATTTGTATAGCACAAAAAATGAGAGGAAACAACAGAAGAACTTGGTAAAATCAACAGCTTTCAAGTTATCTGGGAACAAAGAGTTTCAATCGAAAAAATATGCAGCGTCACTCGAATCATATACAAATAGTGCGATATATGCTCCTTCTAGTAGTATAAATTTGTCAATAGCAATTGCAAATAGATCAGCCTCTCTATTCTACATGGACAGATGGCAGGTAAATAAAAAGCTAGTGTGAACTACATTAGAATATTTTGGCTTTTTTATAACCATTTATTTTTCTTTTTTCTTTTTATAATTCATTTTATTTATAGTAACAAATTCTATATTATCTATTCTATTTGCAAGTATTATTTAGTATTATAAGTTGTTTATATAAGTGTTATTAACTTTGATAATACAAAGGATTGCATCAATGATATCAATTTGGCGATTAAATTGGGTTATCCTGAGAATTTACGTTACAAACTACATCTACGTGCAGCTCAGTGTTACCTAAAATTAGGTAATAAAACATCAGCTGTTGAAACTGTCTTACAAATGCATAACATACCGAATGAGCCTAATATATCAAATGAAACAAAAGGCAAGTATCTACTTTGCATATTCAAGTTTGAGAAGAAAATGATTTAGATATATTTTTATGTTTTTTATATAATCAATTATTGAAATTTTTAGAGCAATTACAAAAGCAAATAAATGACATAATGTCGAAAATATCATGTATGGAAGAAAATGCAGATAGTACTACAGATACTGCAGAATTTCCCTCATTACCTGAAGTCGCATTTGGTGAAAACCCTAATTTTCGGTTTGCATCGGCAG